TGTTTATGATCCTGTGAATGAAGCTCGTCTTCTCAGAACGGAGGACAACTAAAAACATGGGCAAATGTGGTGAAAAGTCGGACGGAGAATGCTAACACTCACGCTTAGTCGAGTTCAACTATGCAACCGTGCATGGATCACCAACTCAAAAAAAATCCCGAGAAGAATCGTTGCGCATGGGAAGGTATCAGTCAACATCATCATCATTGCACGGCGTAACATAGTGAAGCGAACTGCACCGATTGCTGCCAAACTCGCAATGCATGCGAGATAAATGAGTATGACCGGGATTGGAATTATTTTTAGGGACTGGAAAAGAGAGCGAATCTCTATGATCGACATGCAGAGAGCCCAGTCCAGGTGTGCATAGATACTATTTCAACATATTTAGAAGGCCAACGAACTAGTCCTCTGTTGTTTGAGGTAATCGTCAAATAAGGCTTAGGTCCTCTAACGGGGGAACACAATTACAGCTGCTTTCATATACAAGGTGTGCACGTGTTATTTGCTGACTTTACAACAACACACAGAACTCTACATATCATTTCTATTTTCTTTCAACTTCCGAGAGTTTGGTGTTTGTCAATAGGTTCGTCATCGATTCTGGCTACAAAAATGATACACGAGAAATGATTACCGATCTCGTGTTCTTATACAATAAAACACTACCACAAACAGCAACCATGACAACGAATAGCGCTCAGAGTAGTAGTAAAATACGAGAGCTCAAAACAAAAAGCGATCGCAAACGCACATCACCTGGAAAACCCCCCACGTGGAGCGGGGCGGGGGGAGGGAGGGATAGGAACGCGTAGGAACCGCGTAGTTGAACGGCCCGCGTGCAGTCTATTTTCACAACACTGACGGCTTAATGGACGAAAGACCGGAAACGATCAATTATGGCGAGAAGATAGTAAGGGTGTGTTCGCGTACAGGATTGGATGAGTAGGTCATCCTCGTGGACCACAAGCCGGGTTGAAAGAGTGCTTATAAAATCAGTCAACATGGCAATCTCAAACCTGAAAAACAATGGGTGTCCTACTCTTTAGTCGTCCGAAGTTCACCAAGAGAACATTGTGATTCGAGGAGGAAAGTCGTGGACTGTTTCTGTCTCTGTTACGCACCTATCAAACAGATCGACCATTCACGCACACACACAAACAGGCACGCACGTTCACGTGCGAGAATCCATCATAGGCCACTCCACAAGCACTGATGATGATGTCACCTCGGCCGATGATGAAACGTTTGCAAATAAATTGCCAATTGTTCGGAGAACAGGCGAAATGGAATTCAATTCACCTGAGCTACGAGAACCGATTTTGAATACTTTGTCAACAATTTTAGTTTCATATCCAGATCAAAGAGTTTCGTGTTGAAAAAATGTGAAAACAACAGTGCAGATACTGACCTGTAGTGAAAAACTGTCAAAAAGGCGTGTGTGTGTGTGTGTGTGTGTGTGTGTTTGACGGACGAGGTGGACTGGAGAACGGATGCAAGCGAGTGTTGTGAACAATTTCGCGCGAAACCTGTCAAGTGTGAATTGTTCCACAGTCGTTCGCGTTTGACCGACTGAACAACCTTTCAAACTTCGTGTGTTTTCGCATTTCAAAACGCGTAAAACGTTTATTCAGAACAAACTGAGCCACATTCGCAATTTTCGAACATCTTTCAAATGACCGTTACTGTGAGTACAGCTAATGATTTAGCGTCACATAGCAGTGCTGTGTTCGGTGAATATGTCTGTCACTATGCCACGCGATAATTTATTTATACCTCAGGAAATTTCGAGATGATCGAATCTATCCATTAAAAAAGAACGAGTGGTCTTGGAAACACGATTTTGGTTATATTTACGAGTGTTTCAATTTTTAGTCACCGATCCTTCCGATCTACGGTGGATTGTGAAACGTTGCTTTGAAAATGTTTAAGGTTTGGTTGTACAGTCAGATAGTCCTCAAAAATTCTGATGAGAATAAGAAGTATCATGATCACAGCACGATGTGTTGAATTCAACCATTTCGTGATAATCTCGTCCGAGATGTGTGCCATCACGACGAGACTGCACCTTGATGTGGTGGGATGGCTTGCGCACCTCTGTGACCCAACGAGCTACACAAGCCAAACTTCTAATCATGCCTGGAAGGTCGAAGGACAGAGGTCGGGTGAAGTCCAGTCTCCTGGTCTTCCAGGTTGGGGGTTCGACTAGAATTTGCGTTTCAGTCGGCACAAAATGATGAAGCAGTAATCGATCCAAGTGAATGGGCCTCCACTTCGCTTCACCCACTGCCGTGCAGCTAGGTTCTTGTCAGAACTGAAGGCTTTGGTTGACAACCGTAATCGTTCTCCTGTTTAGTGACTGGGCACCCTAGCGGTACCCGTCCATCAAACCCCAATGCATATGCGTTGCGAGTTTGGCAGCGATCAGTGAAGTTCGTTTCTCTGTATTTCGCTGTACGATAATGATGATGATGATGTGCGCATATATTCAGATCACTTCTAGAACAGGACAGGTTTTGTCACCATACCAGGTTTAAAGGTGATAAAAATGACAGACGGATACAGCACAGATTGAGAGAGACGTGAGAACGTATAATGCTGGCTCTAATTTATAATACTGCACAACACGAAACGAATGTTCACTGAATCCAATCTAGACNTCTAGACAAACCCGATCTGGCAGTTACCCCCCTCTCCTCTTGTGTTTACCCATCTTAATGTACCTGCGGTATTACGTACGTCGAAAGAACTGAGAGACGATTGTCCACCAGGATAGCAGAACATGCACCAGCCATGTATTAACCGGTACAACCTTCCGTCCAGTTCAATCGCCCGTCATATACTGGACTGCCAAGAATGAGACGAACCTAGGAATGTCTTTCGTGTCTTGATCCGCCAGAAAAAAGTAGTCTTCTGCTACGGTTTGCTGAGACAGTTTCCGATTTGACGTTACAAGCCCGATTTAAGTGAACAGACTAAATTCGTGGCCAATCTCGCACTGCCCTGGTTGGCGTCACTGTTCTCTCCCCTGCCG